ACGTGTGGGGGCGCCGGCCCGTCCTTCTGGGGCGCTGGCCGTGTGCGCTGCTCTACCTGCTGGGCATGCCTGGGCTTGCCTGCGAAAAACAGAGACTCTCAGATATGAAAAACAGAGCTTTCAGTGCTACAGGAAAATACGCTGCATTAGAGGTGCCACTGGCTCATCTTGGCTCACCTCTCTACAGAGAAAGGTGCCGGTCCAGCACTCGCCACGCGATTTTGGGACTGTGCTGCGATAGTACGCAAGGTCTGATCCAAGGAGAGGAAAAGATGCGGCATTAGAGATGACTGCTATCAGAATAAAACACTTTTTGCACCTTTGTTGATGATCTACCTGAAAATTCAGGATTTAGAGCATCCCTCACCAAAAAAAAAAAAAAAAAAAAAACAAACCACAATTTCAAGTTAAGTATTTTAGCAGATGCCTTAATTCTTACATGAGGAAATGGTAAATAAGAATTAGTCGTTAAGTTATCAAATCCTCACAAATCAAACTTTATGCTAGGGCTTACGGATAAGGGTTTGAAACGGACGACTTTCCTGTCCAAGATGCCTAAGAGGTCTGGGTGATTGCTACTGCAACTGCGTTTGACTGTATGTATTCCCACTATTTAACTCAGTCATTGATTAGTAAATACGTAACTGTGGCTGTACGTGCGCAACTAAAAGCTATCGTAGAGATCACAATTTAGTGCTAACTTACAAGCTGTTTTCTGAGATTGTTCCTTTTATGCAGTTAAATGAAAATACAATGGCAGATACTATAAAAACACTAAAAGCTCCATCTGATCGCAGATTTATTGCACTACCGACCCTGCAGGAAGCATTTAGATCACAGCAGAAAGTCTCTTTATGTTGTGTTCAGACTGTAACTACTTTAACCGCTTCAACTATACATTGCTATGACTGAAAAACAGACACCTAGCAGAGAGTGGGATTCATAGAGCCTCCTACAATCAAATCCTTGTATAGACAAAAGAGAAAGGTACAGAGAGCTCGTGAGGAGCAGTGTAGAGTGCTCAACAGAACACGTTACCAATATTGAGCCACTGGGAAGTGCTGTGTCCATATATTTCAGGGCTTGAGAGCAGAGGCTCCTAATCTCAGCATTCCAGATCCACAGAGTGCAGCCAAAGATGAAAGATGATGCATGAGAAAACAGACTTAAACCCTATCCAGAGAGTAGTTTCCGTGCTGGCTTACGGCAAGTGAAAAAAGGTATCTGCATTTCATCTTGCAAATGGAATCTTGTGACTCTTGCCCTTTACTTCAGTTTCTTTGAACATGCTTTTCTTTCTACGTTTCATTATTACAAACTGAGAGAAACACTTAGTTCAGAATAAAAAGTTACTTTCTGTCTAAACCAACAAGTTACTTCATGTGTCAGAAATAAATGCAAACCCACAATATTCTACCTCATCTGAGCTCAGAGTTCTGTCTTTCAGAGACTTGGACGTCACTTTCTCTGTAGCCGTTTACCGTCTTGCCTTAATCTGGAAGACAGTGTCAGTGTATGTAAAGTCCCAGGCATTTGTTACAAGGCCTTCAGATGGTCTCGCTACAT